TTCACTTTAGCAAATGCTAAAACAAATCTCCATTTTTAAAAAAATGAATCTGCTGGGCCCAAGTTACCTCTGTAATGTGTCCCTGTGGTAAGTCGCCAGTGAGGGAGTAAATCCCGTGTGTGCTGGGGCTGGGCCGGGAGGTCTCTGCAGCACAGAGTGAGACTGGCTCAGAGCTCTGACCTTCCATTGACATGGCAACTTGATGCCCTTTGCTTCCCGCCCCGGTGCCGGTTTTATAACTTTTACCCTTTAATCCAACAAGCCTGGTTTTGTTCTTAAGTGACCAGATCAAATGTGGAACTTGGGAACCCATGAGCATGTCTGGTGTGCTTGGGGATGAGCTCAGTGTCTCCCCCTCCTCTCTCTTCCCTTGCCCCCCTTCCCAGTAGACTGGTGTTAAATGAGGCCTGTTGCCTGAGCATGGTTTAGGAGACCGCCCCGTGGGGGTGGTCTTTGCCAGTTGATCTGAACTATCAGAACTCTCCCCTTAAATGAGGAAAGGGAAATGGGTGGGCTTGCAAGTCAGGCCTAAACCAGAGAGGTTCCAGTTGTCCCCGACTTGCAGCGTGACAGCACCTCTGTTGCCCAATCCTTCTGAGGAGCAGCTGAGGTCAGATTCCCTTTGTGTTTGTCAAGTGGTCCAGGAGCCATGACAGGAGAGGACAAAATTTATTAAAAACCAAACTAGGTTTGGATCTAGGACCTGGAATGCTGCTTTCATGAGATTCAAACTGCAATAAAGAATGAGGTCGCTCACCGCTTTTCCCCTTCCCCAGAGTACTGGATAGAAGAATGATGCTCCAATTGCAAGGGAAAGGGGATTCTGCTGTGTGTGTCTGGTCAGACTGAACTACCTTTAGTACTTTGTCTAATTATAGACATTTTACTGCAATCTGGCAGCAGCTCCGGTGAAGACACAAGGATGCCCTCGGGTGCCTGCAATGATAAATGCAGGTAGTGTAAAATAGTGATTTCCTGAAGAAAGGCAAATCTAGGAAAGCATTTCTTTCTATTGGGGTAGTCCCCTGAGGAACCAAGTCAGGATCAGCTGTCCAGTTTTGCTGGGCTGCTGTAGAAAAGCGTAAGGGGAGAGAGACGTGGCATTTAGGACACCTGTATCTTTGAAGAATAAGGCAGAGTGAATTTGGAATTGTCTTGTAGGGGGGTTATCCAAGTGCAAATGAAGGCCCTGCTGGATGGGCTGGCCAAGAACAGGGCTCCGTTATGTTCCCCGTACACAGAGTAGGGGCTATCACTGCTCCCAAAGAGTGTTTGTCTATTTTAAACATCGATAGCTGATCGTCGTTTGCAAATCATTGTCCTTCCTAGCCAGTGAGGGCAGGACAAGAAGTAACTGACTGAATTTGTAGCAGAGGAGAATCATGATGGATACTAAAACAGACTTTCTAACTGAGGAAAGCTAAGCCCTGGTACAGGTGGGTATGTTGGCGACTGGCCCCAGGGAGGTTGGGTAATTCACATCCCTGAGTTTTTAAGAACTGGTTGGACAGATCCCTGTGTGCACTGGAGGGCTAGCTGACCTCTTGTGGTCCTTTCCAGCCCTACATTCCTATGATAATGCTTCCAAGGCTCAGTCCTGCCAACACACTTTGCACATGCTGCTCTAAAGCAACTAAGAGTTAATAGAGTCCTAGTCTCAGTGTGGATACCTCTCCAGCTAGCAATCAATAAAACCATCAACTGTTTTGTCCCCGTAGGCCACCTTTAGGTTGTAACAATTTTCCTACTTGGTCAAATTTCCCTGATGTTTGAACATGGCATCAGGCATGGGTATATTTGCTAAGGCGGCTCACATGTCAATAGTATTTTCAGCTCAAAAAGAGAAAGCAGAGCATGTGGGAGAAGTGAAAAGCTGTCTAAGACGTGTCCAAGGGTACCGGAAGTATTGGACAGGAGGCATCTTACCCAGGATCGCAGGGTCCCATGGACAGAAGGTGCTTCAGAGAGGTGGTTTTGGCACCAACACCAGTTGATGTGGCTTGTGATCGGGGCAGCTGGCATAACATTGACCCTGCTCGGTATGAATTGGCACCGCGCACGTCAAGGCCACCTGACAGGGCCTGGAGGCAAGTGGCCAGGTTTGATGCAGGGAGAACAAATGTGCATGAGCTGGTGTTAGACCCATATGGCAATAGCCTATCGGCCCCACTGGCCACTGCTGGGGGTAGATGTGGCTCGTGAGGGTTTCAGAGTGATACGTGGGGCTAGTTGGCCTGACGCATGCGAGCGGCTCACATAGGAGAGGTTCATGTGCTTAGTACAAAGGGCTTGATATCATTCGTGCACTGGAGGGGGCTGCCAAAGCTTTTGCAAGGTATATAATGGGGAGATTGGTGCGAACATGCTGAGGGGTTGGCATGTTACTTTTAAGGAAGGTTAGCATGAGCATGAGGGATTCAGCAGGGCGCAGAGGAAGCTTGGCATATTACATACAGGGAATGTTGGCGTGATGTGTACAGTGCTGCTTAGTGTGACCTGTGCCAGGGGGTTAATGTATTATCTGTAGGCAAAGTGGACATGATGTGTGTCAGGAATTTAGCACATTACATCTATGCAAAATTGGCATGGACATGTGAGGGTTTGGCATGTTACGTGTAGGTAAGGTTGGCATGACATGTACTAGAGGTTCCCGATGTAACTTGTACCGGGGTAGGCAAGGCAGGCGAGATGCATGTGGGCAGTGCTTAGCATAACTTGTTCCAGAGGTCTAGCGTGTTACATATAGTGGAGTTTGCGGTGACATATGTGGGGGACATGTGGCAAGATGTTTTCCAGGGCTTTGTCTTGTTACATGTATGCGCGGTTTGGTAGGACCCACCTTGGGGGCACTTGGTGTGATGTGTGCCGCAGAAGTTTAGCACATTACGTGTAGGAGAGGTTAACATGACATATGCCAGTGTAGCGTGTTAGATGTGACGCACGTGACGGGAGCTTGGCATGGCTTGTTCTAGTTTCGCATGTTCTATGTAGGCATGGTTTTGTGTGACACATGGGGGCATGTGCCATTACTTATCCCAGAGATTTAGCATGTTACACGTAGGCAAGGTTGGAGTGACACACACCAGAGGCAGTTGGCATGACTTATGCCAGTTTAGTATGTTACACGTAGGCACTGTTTGATGTGGTGCACATGGCGTGACTTGTGCCAGGGTTTGGCTTACACACCATCACAATATGGTGCGACACACGTGGCGTGATTTGTGCCGGGGTTTGGCGTGCTACACGCTGGCACGGTTCGGTGCATGTGGTGTGACTTGTGCAGGGGCTCGGTGTGTTACACGCCGGAACAGTTCGGTGCACCGCACCAAACTGTGGTGTGACTAGTGCAGGCTCGGCGTGTTAAATGCTGGCACGGTTCGGTTCGGCGCACATGGCATGACTAGTGCAGGGGCTCGGTGTGTTAAACGCTGGCATGGTTTGGTTCGGCAGGTGTGGCGTGATTTGTGCCGGGGCTGAGCGTGTTACACGCCGGCACGGTTCGGTGCGTCGCACGTGGCGTGACTCGTGCGGGG